CTTGCTACAGCAGCAGTATATATACAGAGTCATATGCTTTACTCATATCCTGAGAAAGAAGCCATACTCTTTATTTTGAGTTTGAACTTCCTGCAGGATGTTTGTAAGTATATGAATAGGTTGTGTTGTTGATGTGAATGGAAGTGCAACAAAGTTTTGTGGGTTGAGTATTGGGTAGCAACTTATAATTTGGCTTAAATGATGAGTAATGATCTTTGTAAATATTTTGCGAATATGTTTGAGTAGTGTAATAGATCTAGTATGATTAAGTTGGCCAAAAATACTGACTTTTTAGATATTAGATAGATTTTGCTATGTTTTCAGGCCTTTGGTATTTGTGAAGTGCTAAGACATTTGTTAAAGAGTGTAGTGAGGATTTTGATAACATTTGGATATATATGTTTTAGCATCTCATTAGATATCAATGATGGTCCAACAGCCTTATTATTTGGTGAATTGCAGATTATATTAGTTATTTCTTCAGCTGTTATAGGTTAATTGAGGTTTTTATACTATACTGGTATGATATGTTTCTGTGGTTCATATTCGGATTTCCAGATTTCCTATAATTGTAGATCATATGGTTTGAATTTAGTCTAATTTGCAAAGTAATTTTTAATGTGATTCCAGATTTGTGCTGGTTCTGTAATTATAGAATCTGTTAATGAAATGTTTTGAAAATTTACTGGGTCTGTATGTCTATCAATTATACTATTGATTATAGTAGTTGTGCAGATTGTAAATAGAGCTGCAGATGAAACTAAATCACACTAGTAAAACTGGTGACTATCTAAAATCTGATTGGCTATTGCATTCAATAGCCAATCAGATTTTAGATAGTCACCAGTTTCACCAAGTTTCACCAAGTTTCACCAGTTTCACCAGCAACTCTAGTTGTAAAGTTGTCATAGCACTTTTGTACTTGGGAATTAATATACTAACTAAGTGCTTGTTTATTTTCTATTTCTCTCGTATGATATAAAGTTTTTCTGAGTAATTTGAGTAAGTTAATAGTTGACTCAATCTGCTGATTGCTAATACTTTGTATTGTAAGTGCTGTATTGTTTGTAGTTTGTGGTTAATGTTAATAATGATCTGTTGAAAGTCCTCTAAGTTTCTATTAGGTTGAATTTGTATATGTGTTAGTTTTTATAAAATGCTACCACATAGATTTAGAGCTGTATAGAGTTTTGTTGCTGCAGTAGAAATGTTTTGAATTGTCTATGAGATTTGAATATAAAAGGTATGTGTGTTTTGGCTGCTTTAGTTATAGCATTATTGATATGATGCCAAAGTTGATTAATTGAAAGTGTCTATATAGTTTCATCTGTTAGTGATGAGGTAAGGTTATATGTTGTCTGCTAAAACTCATTCCAACTATCCGTAGTCATTGTATCATATTTATATACTTTAAACTTATATTTTTTAAGTTATAAGGGTGGTGTAAAATTATACTATATATTGGTATAGATTATACAATGATTACTATTAATAATGCCAGTAGCTGGTAACAAGGTGGGTCATGTTGTAATGTGTAAAATCTGGTGTAGAATACATATCTCATCTATTTGGCTAGATAAATTAGCTTGCTGCTATGTAGATGTAGATAGATAATAGTGTAAAGTTGTAGGCTAGTAGATAGCTATAAAGTAATGATTTGTGTGTTTTATTTAAATTTTGATTAAAGTCTCCTATAATAGTAGGTATAATTTGAGTTTGGAGAGCTTGTGTTATCCATCAGGTAATCTGATCTTGTGTTTTGGTATTAGCTAAGGTATGTGTTGGGAGATAAGCTAAGATAATACAGAATTTATTGTTGTATAGAAAAAATAGGTCAATTGCAATTGCTGTACTATTGAGTATTTGGATGTTGTGAATATAAGAAGTAAGAGTTTGAGATAGGAGAATAGCTGTGCCCATTCTGAACTCCTGGGAGTGTTGTAGTGTTATTTGGCTGTTGTTAGAAGTAAAACATTTGTAGTGTGTGTTATGTAACTGCAGGTTGGTATATATAGAGTGTGCTAGTTTTGTCTCAGTAATTAATATAATGTCTAGTTGCTGAGCCAAACAATAATCAAACCAAAGTTGTCTTTTAGTAGTTTGGTTGAAACCTTGAATGTTATGAGTAGCAATAGTTAAGGGTTTTTGTAGTGAGTCAGTTATATTTTGTATATTATTGTTATTACAGTTGTGCTCCCATATAATCACACATTTTTTGACTTAAGAACTTTTTTTAAAAATGTTATTATAAAGAGATTGTGCTTTTATAAAGGTATTTTTTTATATATTTAATATTAAATTATTTTAAATAAAAACATAATATATAGAGAGGTTTTTATATGATGTGATTATAGAGGAGGTGATTATATAGGAGCACAACTGTATTATTATTGTTCTGTATAATTTGATTACTCAGTATCCATGAGCATGTTATTTGCTAATGGTTGATGTATAAAGTTAGTTGTTTGTATTTTAAAAATATCCCATGTGGGGGTAGGTAGTGGAGGTAAATTGAGTAGAAAATCTGGAATTTCTTTTATATTAAAGTATTGTTGTAGTGTTTTCATTGTAGGTGTTACTTGAGTTTGTTTACTAATTAGCAATGTGATAGTAATTTTATGATTAGCTAAAATTGTAGTAATTTCTTGAAGGTTGTCAGGTAGTGGTGGCAAAGGTTTCTTGGTTGACTGTGTATCTAGGCTATTAGAGATTTCATCTGTCTCTAAGTTTAGATTAGGAACTGTAGTAGTACTGAGAGTGGTTATGTTAATCCATTCTGTAGGCAGATGAGTAAAATAGTAGTATTGTCACAGTAATCTTACTGTGTTGGTTAGTTGTTGTGGATTGGTAATTGGTATAGTAATATTATGTTGAGTAATGACTTCTTCACTAGTAGGTAGGCATGGTTTAGCTGTAAAGTTGGCTTGCATAATATTGTTAAGGAGAGGGTAGCATATTCTATAGCATTGTGACACTTCTTTAATGAAGGCTTTCGCAATATCATCCTGTATAATAGGGTAAGTATACTGATCTTGTGTTTTAATTTGTTCAGGATTAGTTGGAAGTAGTGGTTTAATGATGAAATAATTACTGGGAAGGAGATTAAATCTATAGTATTGTCTAAGCTGGAAGATTACTTCAGATAAGGGACTTGAGCTAGTGTCGAATTATAGAGGAAGAATCTTCTGATACTTGGGTTTAACTCCTAGTATGTTGTAGGTAATAGTTGCTTAGAAGAAGGTAGCTAAAAATATGATAATGAGATCGATTCACAGCTATAATAGTCTGCTAGTTTCCATCTATAAAATGATAAGTATTGGAGTGATTGTTGATTTGTTATAAGAAAATATTGTTGAAGCTAAAATGGTAGGTCAGTAACATTTTTAGGTAAAGCAGGCAGTGTTTGAAAGTAGACATTTGGTAGCTTGTCAAACTTAAAGAGTTTTTTCAAACAGCTGACAATTGCTGCTATATGAGATCACTGTTTAATTGGAAATATAAAGTGGAAGTCCTTTGTAACCTCTGATAATATAAGATTAGGAGTTGTAGAAAGAGGAAGTAGCTTGTCTTGAAATGCATTAAGTACAGCATTCTTAATTTCCTTTAGGGTGTTATCATTGTTATTTGGAATTTGAAGAAATCCTCTTGTATAATAAATTAGTTTAAATACTGTGAAGTTGGTGTTGGCAAGGTGCTGTGCAATTAGCATTCTTTTAAGCATAGTATGAATAGTTCTATGTGTTTCACAGTTGATAATTGTGAGCTGGTTATTGATTTTGTAATTGGCTAATGCTGTATTGTATAAATTTGTATACTCTTTTTGATGTGCTGGCATAGTTTTAGGATTTCTAGAAAATGTAGTAAAGAATCTTGTATCTAAATATTTAAACTTCAGATATATTGCTGGTGGTAGTTCAAATTGTGTAGATATAGACCCAACTTTGTGTTGCACAAATTGGTATATCTTATCAGAAGTTTGAAGTGAAGTGGCTATAGTGTCATATGTCCAGTAATTTTGATCAAATGGTTGTATTGTACCTTGTACCATTTTAGTCGCAACTTGATGCACCCATATAGTACTATCAGGTATCTCAAAGGTTAGTAAGTTAAGATTTTTGTGTATAATTTGGCTATAAGATAGTTTATCTATTTCAGTAAAGTCTATAGTAGTAGCTGTGTGTATAGGTGATACTGTTGATGATGATTGTAGCATCTGTGTACTAGTAGTAGTATTAAGTGGTATAAGCCTAGGCCATTTTTTGATACTACAAAACTTAGTTAGCTGATTGCGTATCTGAACAGTTTGGTGAGTAGTGGTGTGTCCAGATATATTAAGTTGTGCTGCTGACTGTTTGTTTGTTTTGTGTGAGCTAGAGGCTGCAGCTAGTACACTGCTAGTGATGTAGCCTCTGATAGAATAAGTACTGTTTTTGCCTTTGTTGCTAGCTGTTGTTTTGTAATACTGATAGTATTGTTTTGGTTTGTATCCTCATCTGTATCGATTTTGAGAATCATGTTGATGGAATAAGTGGTAGGTCTTTAGAGTATTTTGGCACATAGTATACTTTTTGTGTTTGCTTATATGCTTTGATTGTTATGTCTATGTCACAACTACAAGTAGCTCTAGGCAATTTGGCGTTAATGTTTACAAAGTTACGTTTGGAGCTTGTCAAGTCAAATAAGATTGATTTGGTTGTATCACTGTGTTTGCATATCTATTGTGCAGGAAATTTAACCATATTTGATATATGTTCAGACTGGAAAAATTCTACAGTAAAGAGAAATTTGTTAGTGAATTCTGGGATATAAAAGGTAATAATGAAGGTAAGTTTAGACTAGTCCTTAATACTAATGTTGATAAATTCTTTTGTATATTCTGTTGTAATATGCTTGGCTGAGGTGAATGTTGCTGTAGTTTTTGTATTAGACTTGCTAGTTAGATAGGTTAGAGGATTAATAAGAGAGAAGATGCTGAAGAAGATGGCATTGTTGTGTACTTGTTAAGCAGTTGTTTTAGGTTCTGTGTTGATTTGGTTGTTGTTATTTGTTAATGTAGTTCCACTGCTAGTTGCAGCATTAGTTGTCATGGAGGGGTCTATAGAACCAATTCCACTCAACAGGTGAAAGTTTGTCTGAGGGTTGTTTTTCCTGTTTTTTGTCTATGGTGTTGGCAAGGGAAGCCTTACGACCACAAGTATGTGCTTTTTATATACTAATTTGGATACTGAGCAAGTTTTTTTAGAGGCTAGAGATACGTTTAATTAGTATACTTTTGTATTATTTGCCTTGAAAGTTTTTTTCTCTTGGTTTTAGTTTTGGTAAAAGTGATCTGCAGAAAGAGTTCTCTGTAAGGGCAAATGCATTAAAGTAGTAAACTTAAATTAGGACATAGAAGTATTTGAGTCAAGTATTAAAGTCTTTGTTTACTGCAATTAAAATTAGGCAGAAGTTTGTCTGATTGGCTAATAAATTCAATTTAATTTTACATTATTTATACAGTTTAGAATATGTTTTTTAAAAAATAAGAAAACTAATTATAATAAAATAAAAAAAGCTATATAGAAGGTTACATTAGGGCTGACTTCATAGCAAAATTTAAGATCTAATTCTTGTCTGTTTAAAAAAGTTTGTATAGTAATAACTTCTTAAATCCTGATAAAATCAATTAATTACTAATTTAATTTTTTTAAAAAGATGAAATTAGATCTTATTTTAAACTATTAAGTTCCACAGCTCTAATGAAACCTTTTATATAGCTTTTCTTTACTTTATTATAGTTAGTTTTTAGTTTTTTTTTTAAAAAAGTCTTCTAAGCCATATAAATAATAAAAAATTAAATAGAATTTATTAGCAATCAGATGAATTTATATCTATGACAGTTAATAAAAAGGTTGAATTCTAAGTATTTATTGAATATTTGTTTTATTAATAAATTAAAGTATAATCAGTTTAATAGCAATAGTATTTATATTAAATAATAAAATATGCAATAATATATTATAAGGTTAATACCAGCCATGTTGTGTTGATAAGTTTAATACCAATTATAAACATATTTCACCAGTCACATACTATACTTACAAATACTGAAAATGATTTTTTACTGAAAAAAAATTAACTCATTTTGTTACAAGCTTTCTTTTTAGTCTTTGATGATCAATGATTATTAAATCATCTACTCGGCAAATAACACAATACAAAAAATCACAAAATCAAAAAATTTGACAAATAAAATCTTATTTAAAATACAAAAAAAACAAATAAAATACAAATTTACAAAACCAGATTTACTACATCCAGCATATACAGCAAGCAAAGGTTTGCATCTAGTATTTAGTACTAGTACTAGAACAAATGAACTGTGCCAGAATGATCTAACAAGAATATCTAGTATCATATATTACTATAAAAATAGTAAGTATAGATTAGTGTTTATTTTTCATATATGCAAAAGTGTTCGCACATATATGAATCCAAACAAATTGTTTTATTTAAAATTTTAATTAGATCTATACACATATACACATTTTTGTATATATGAAAAATAAATACTGGTGTAGATCATTCTTTTTACACAATTATGAGAAATTATCTTGATGATTCATAGAAAGATCAAAGCACTGCAACTATAAATAGCAAAAAACTGGCATATATATGACCACAACAATATAACAAAATTGAGTAAAGTTAATAATATTAAGAATGCGATTATGCAATATGTAGATCAATATATAATTAGACTCATCTATAAAAATTGAAAATATATATAATGCTCTTGTATCATTAATGGTTTTTTTTAAAAAAAATAATAATAATAAAATTGTAATGAAGAGCTTGTTAACAAAATAACAAAGAAACTGTTTTGATAATCAGTGTAGTTAAAAGTTGTTGTTCAGTAGTGAAAAGTTATTTTTCGCTTATTTTAACATAGAAGCTAAGGCAATAATTGATACTGGTTTAATAGATTAAATGGTAAAAGTAAATAACATCAAGCTTAGCGGCTGAAATAGTATACAAAAAATATGCTGGTAGTAATTAGGCTCTGCAGTTGCAGTCATAATGCAAGAACCTTATTTGATGGTAATTAAGTACTGCAAATATAGTAGCAATACAAAGACCTTTTGGATTTTGAAGTTACAAAGCATATTTGTTGAACTTAGAAGCATTTTTATTACTTCATGAGTGACTATATAATCGATTCACTTTGAAGCTACATGGATTTCTATTTAATAACCTGTCTAGTATTATAGTTTGATCAAGATTATAAGATACTTTTGTTAAGAGTGAGCTTATAGCCAATTAATTTAAATAGCATTGTTTGCTTTAAAGATATAGTATAATATTTCAGTTATAGAAGGTGGGCAATAATGATAGTAAGCAGATTCCTATATACTTTTATTGTGTTTTAATAAAATCATTTGTCACCTGATTGAGCAATAATAATTGAATTTTTGATAGTTAAATTTCAAATTAAGATAAAGATTTGAGAAACAAATAATATTATAGTGCTATTCATTATAAATTGTAGCATCATTGTCAAAATTTCTTGGCATGCAGCACTTACAACTTTTAGTAACCTTTATTAAAGAAAACTACTAATTATAATTAGCAGAAGACTTTGTATCCAAAATTTGCAGGCTAAAACAATTTTAGCAGAATATTTCAAATTGAAATAGTACTTAAGAACTGTAGTTAAAATGAATATCATATATCTCTAAATATAAGCAAATCTAAATAAAAGAAACCTTCAGATTTTGAAACTGAAAATTTGCAAAGTAAGTTTACTAGTAAAATTTTTCTGAATTTAAACAAACTCTCAATCTTCAACTCGAAAAATGTGTAAAATTGCTGTTACTTATATTTGAAGTTATATGACAAGTATAAAAATGTTATATATAATTTAAATTTTTAAAAGAATATACATTTTGGCAAGGCATAAGTAGTTAGTTAAATTCTGTTCTTTGTTTTGCATGATAGCATCACACAGCTATCTAGTAGTTACTATAGTAAATTAAGTAATATACATTCGCAAAATCTTATATATAATAAGTCTGCATGACCTATTCATCAAATTTTAGGTATTTTTTTATACATAAATACATTATATCATTATTCTTCATATATAAATTTATTACACCTTATATCCTATTATAATAGTACATATGAGTGATATCAAAATTGCAATAACAATGATAGTAAAAGCAAAATTTTTGCTGCAAAAATCAGTGACCTGATGCAATTTTATTAGCTTATTTATCTGATATTTGATATGTTTCAAATTTTTTTGTAGAATCTTTTATTGGGTTGATAAAATAATAATCACTGATCGTTAAAGAATTTTACAAACAAAAATTTATATAAACCTTTAAAAATTTATAAATATTTTCAAATTTCCTAAATATTTTTGAAATCTTATTAATTTTTTAATTATAATTTTTATTAAGCATAATCAGAAAATTAATAGGATTCAAAAATATTCAGAAAAGTTTAAAGTTTTGTATAGAGTTTTATTACGAAAAATGCTCATCCCTTAAAAATAATTTGAATAATGGTTGAATATAATTTTAAAAATTTTTTTATATAGAATTTAAAACAAAAAGTCAAATAAGTTATAATTTAATTACATCAAAACTTGTTGTGATGTTTTAAGTTTCTTGCTAATATTAAAGCTTGAATTACTTCTTTTGTCTACTAAACTTCTATATTTATGTAATAAAAACCTAAACTATTCAATAAGTTGGTGAATAAACAATTTATCAAAATTTACTATTTCAAATATTAGTACAAATACATTGTGCAGCTACCTTATTAATTATATATTTATTAGTTTATTACTTCTTATATTAAATCATAAGATGTAAGAATCAGATATAAACTAAAGCTTGGTGTATAGAAGGATAAATTTGTATAGATAAGACTGATATAACTAGGATCAAAAGTTTAGAGAAAGGACCATAAAGGATAAATTGATATAGGTAAGCATAATTAAATAAATTGGTAAAAACCAAAATATAGAAGTAGACCAAAAGCATGTAAATCATTCATTAATATATCTTGAAAATATAAAAGAGCTGCCTTTTTGCTCTTGAATAAAGCTTTAGACTTCGATGGCTTGATTATACAGATTATAATAAGAATCAGATTTTTACTTGTTGTATTTATTTATTAGTAAATTTGTTATTGTTTTGTTATTCTAACTGTTAAAATTCTATGATCATATTATATTTATTATTATATACCTTATAATTACCCCCAGTATTATAAATTAATTACTTCAGCTGCATTATAATTAAATAAACTAATTAATTAGAGCAATGATATTTATTACCTTATATTCATTTACTATAGGGTTTTACTTTCTCTCTCCAGATGATATTTTTATTAACTAATTAAATTTTAGTATTATATTAAGGTAAGATTTGGCTTTACCTCCACTGTCTAAAATATTGTTATAGAATGAGTTGTAGTATTAATTTTATTATTAAGTTTATTATTAGTTATTATTAGTTATATTATTATTATTATTATATTATTATCTTGTATTCTATTATTGAATATCATATAACGTTAGATATTATTGGTTAGTTGTGCATAGCATTAGAAACTGATAGAATGGAAACTGTTTCTACCATTCTTATCATTCTTACTATTTTTATCATTCTTACTATTTTTATCGTTTCTACTATTTTTATCGTTTCTACTGTTTCTTATTATTTTTATTAGTTTTAGATAGTTTAGAAAAAGATATATAAACTATAGCTTTTTTATCTTCTTGTCAGTTAGTTTGAATCATCTTTAGATAGACTCAAGTAGACACAGAAATCTCTTTGGTTATAGGATTCTTTCTTGTAATTAAAGTCTTATATACTGTAAATAAAATATATCTTTCTTTAACTATATACTTTCCATAAACTGCCTTTAGTGAAGTAACATTCCACTTCTACAATGCTATAATCTCACAATGGAGCTCTATAGCTGTGTGCTTTGTTATTTGTGCTGTGTTAAGAAGACTACAGTCCACTTGTAACAATTAGATGCCTTCTAGTAGAAAGGAAAAATTCTTACATTAAAATCCCTATTAGCTTTAGTTTTCTTCAATAACTCTATGAATATCAACCTATTTTAAAACTCACCTCCTTTACATTCTTGAAAATATTCTCTATCTTTTGGTATATAGGTTACTTAATACCAAAATATTTCCTCATTGCTCTAAAAATCATCAAAGTTTTTACTCCCTTTTCTTTACTATAAACCTTGTTTCTATATACATTATTACATAAACTTTGACTCTTGATATCTTGCCACCTACCCAACTGATTTGAATGATTTCATCTCCTTTAGATTCGTAAAAAGCTTACCTACATTTCCTTTCTAAGTTACAAACCTTGTTAGCATAGTACAAACACCTTGCATATTTGACTTTTCTAATTGTGGTTAAAGTTTTATACCCTAAGGAAAACTCTGCCAGATTCACTCTCTGAGAAGATATTTATTTATAACCCCATCTATTACTAAAGAAGTAATAGTTTATTTTTGGAAGTCCTGACAAATTGAAAGAGATTTGCTCAGAAGGACATACTTGAAGCTTCTGCTTTCGTAGCAACCTAGGAAGTCTTGACAAATTGAAAGAGATTTGCTTAGAAGGGCACACTTGAAGCCTCTGCTTTTGTAGCATCCAAGAGATAGCTAGCAGCTTACAGTAAACCTTAACCAAGGAAGATTAAGTGCAAATTACTCACAAGCCAAAATGTAGGTGTAAGTAATTCTACCCAAGATTATTACAACAACCAAAACATTTTTAATTAAATAATATAATCAAGAGTCTGCCACAGTATTATATATATCGAGCATATAAGTTATATTTAGAAAGAATTAGAAGATACGCACAAGACCATGAAGATACTAGTCTTTCTAACGATACCCTCCAAGTACTTTCACTTGACGATTCGTGTAGATACTGCTTTCCTGGCCACAACTATTATCGCTCTTCCTATAGTTTTTAAAATTGATATTTATAACAATTTGCTGCCACCTCCTACATCCAAATAACAATTGCAGCACACCTTAACCTAACTACAGATTCTGACTACCCTTTAGCTTGAGTTTCAGTCAGAAATCTTATTTTTAGTTGCAGATATCAACTCCCTCTTGAAAGTCCTCACTGAGTAGCAACTACCTTTTAATTAATTATACTAGATATCGGCTTGCTTCTTACTTGCCTCTGAGATTTGTCTCTAATGTTTTTGATCCCTATAATGAAGACACTAAGTATACACCTAGTGTCTATCAAACTACTAATAGTG